TTCCACATCCTCCCCCCTTCTTGTATTGCCCTCCCCAATGTTCAAACTAAACCCCTCACCCCAACCCCATTGTGGTTACCTTATATTCCATTAGTTCTACCCTCCATTTAAGATAGTCTATTTTATCCAGTAATCTACCTGACCTTTCCACCACCTGGATCTCTGATCCTCTGTGTTTTCCTTCTTTCACACTGTATTGGTTTTGACCATAGACTGACCTCCCAGATCCTCTGTTCTTATAATCTTACTCTGTTCTTGACTCTTCCATTTGTCGATTGAGTTCAGGCTGATGCTGCCACATACGTCATTCTGTAGTTGTTGTCTGTTCTTGGTTCTCAGTCCACAGAACTTACTTTAGGGTGTTTTTCATAGCAGATTGGCTTTGGCAAAATTCCTTAGCTTCTGTTTATTCTGGAATGTTTTGATTACACCATCATATTTGATTGACAGCTTTGCTGGGTAGAGGATTCTTGGTTGGCAATTTCTTTCTTTTGGGGTTTTATGTATGTCTCTCCATTGCCTTCTTGCCTGCAGGGTTTCTGTTGAGAAATCTGAGCTTAATATAATTTTCTTGCCTTTGTATGTTACTCTTCTCTTTTCCCTAGGTGCTTTCAAGATCCTGTCCTTATCTTTGATTTTGGAGAGATTGATTATGATATGTCTTGGTGATTGTCTTTGAGGGTCTATCCATCCTGGGGTTTGTTGAACTTCTTGAATGCATATCTTTTCACTTTTCAAGATGTTAGGAAAAATTTCTTCCAGAAACTCCTTAACTATCTCCTCTGTGGACTTATGTGATTCTTCCTGTTCCAGAATGCCAATAATTCTTAAGTTATTCCTCATCATGTTCTCCAACATGAATCTTAGGCCTTCTTCAGATTTATTTAATCCTTTTTTGTGTTTGCTCTTCTATCTTGGTAGTGTTGAGAGATTTATCTTCTAGCTCACTAATTCTGGCTTCTATCTCTTCAATTCTACTCCTTTGCCCTTTCAGTGTATTGTCCATTTCTAATATTCTTTTATTAATCATGTGGACCTCTTTCTGTAGGTTTTGAATTGTTTCCAATGCTTTATCTATCTTATTTGATTGTTCCTATAGTGCTTTCCTGACTTCTTTCTTATTTTTCTCAACTTCATTATATAGTGTTTTGAAACGTTTTATAATCATTTTTCTGAATTCCTTCCCAGGCATTTCCAAAGTCTGCCCATCTTCTAGTATGGAGTGTAGGTCTACTTCTAGCTCATTTGCCTCAGTCACTTTATCTCATTTCTGGATGTGTGTAGATATGGTCATCTGCTTCAGTTTTTTGGGCATATTCAGGTGTTGTCCATGGCCTTAATACTGAGCTGAGTGTGTATTTTTTTTTTTTTTTTTTATGCTTTCTGATTGCCTTCAGGTAGATGTGATCAGGACATAGGCTTCCTTTTTCACTCTTCTTGAGAAATTTCAAGATGCCACTGTTCATTTTGATGCAACTTAGGATTTAATTTTTGGCCTATTTCCTTTTTTATCTGCCTATCCCACTCCACAATCCCTGCTCTGGCCTTTTCCCTAGTTATAAACAGTTCAGGGCCAGCTGTGGCCATTTGGTTTTAATTGGAAACTCTCTCTTTAAATTTAGAGGAGATCTGTGTGCATGTATTGTAGAACACTCTGAGGGTGGGGCTGGGGGGTCCACTAGGTCAGGCACCTCTATAGTCAACAGAATGGAGATGCGCAGACAGCAAGGGCTCAATGAACAGATATCAAAAGAAAAGAATGTCCACACCTTTATCACCATGGTTCTGTCAGGTGTCTGTGGCTGCTCTAATCCTTCTCCCGCTTGGTCTCACCCAAGATGACAGCTCCTAGAGCAGCTCAGCATCTTGAATTAGAAAGCAATGGATTTCTTGCTTCTGCTACAAATTCCCCTAGCTGTGTGCCTTCCAACCTTCTAAATATTCCTTTATATGTGGTTCAGAGTTCTGGGACCATCCCCTGAGCCTGCTTGGTCCTGTATTCTGTGTTGTTGCTGACGGAGCTCCTTACTGCACTTCTACCCGATCTACCATCTTGTTTGTTCTCTCCCTGGAAGATTTTTGATCTAGAGTGTTCCTGGTCATCAGAGGCAGCACTGATGTCCAGGCTCACATCTCTGGTCCAGAGGTGGAATTAGAATGATGGGTATTTCTTTAGCATCAGCTTCACACATTGTTGTTGCTAGCTGCCATTGAGTTGTCCCCCAATTCATGGTGACCCATGCACAATGGAATGAAACTCTGCCTGATCCTGAAACATCCTCAAGATTGCTGAGAGTTCAGACACCATTGTGGACCATAAGGTTTCAGTGGATTGATATTATATAAAAAAAATAGGTTACCAAGTCATTCTTTCTAGCCCATCTTAGTCTGGAATGTAAAACCTGCTCAGAATCATAGTAACATACAATCCTCCATTGACAGACAGATGGTGGATATGCATAAGGTTCATTGGCTGGAAATCAAAGCTGGGTGTTATGCATGGAGGTGAGGATTCTACCACTGAACAACCATTTTCCTCCACAGAGGGAGTGTGGGGGAAATCACTGATCTTGGAGTTAGCACTCCAACATTTAACTGAGGACCCCTTTTTCATGTACTGATGTAAATAACTACCAACTGTCACACTGCCTGACTTCTGGACAAAGGTTCTAAGTCCTTCCTGCCTATTGGTACAGAGTTGAAATAAGAAATTCTGATTCTCTTCTCTTTTGAAAACACCCATATCCAATCATTTGCGACTCTGTTTATTCCTTCCATCTTGCATCTCAATGTAAAGAAAACAAAAATTCTCACCACTGGACCAATAAACAACATTCTTATCAATGGAGAAAAGATTGACGTTGTCAAGGACTTCCTTCTTCTTGGATCAACTATCAACACTCATGGAAGTAGCAGTCAAGGAATCAAATGACGTATTGCATTAGGCAAATCTGCTGTACAATACCTTTTCAAAGTGTTGAAGAACAAATATGTCAGCTTGAGGACTAAGGTGCACCTGATCCAAGCCATGGTAATTTAAATAACCTCATATGCATGCAAAAGCTGGACAGTGAATAAGGAAGACTGTAGAAGAACTGATACGTTTGAATTATGGTGTTGGAGGAGAATATTGAAAGTGACATGGGCTGCCAAAAGAACAAACAGATCTGTGTTGGAAGAAGTGCAGCCAGAGTACTCCTTGGAAGCCAGGATGGCCAAACTTCGTCTCTCATACTTCGGACATATTGTCATGAAGGACCAGTCACTGGAGAAGGATATCATGTTTGGTAAGGTGGAGAGTCAGAGAAAAAGAGGAAGACCCCCAACGAGATGGATTGGCAAAGTGGCAGCATCAATGGGCTCAAGCAAAGCAACAATTGTGAGGTTGGCCCAGGACCGGGCAGTGTGTCATTCTGTTGTGCATAAGGTCACTATGAATCAGTACCAACTCAATGGCATCTAACAACAACAACAACATATCTAGCCAGTCATGTTCCCATCTATTCATCTGGTGATTCATCCTTTCCTCTGTTCTTCCACTGCCAGTGCCAAGTGTACTTCACACATTCTCCTTTCTTTTTGTACTATTATTGTCACTTCTCACCCTTTTAAATCTCCTCCATCTAGTCCTCACCATGTTCTTCCTACATGGTAGGAAGTGAAATATGACTACATTTAACTCTCACATGCAACCCTCAATGGATGTCTTGCTTCTTGAATAAACTCCATGTTCTCCTTTCTTTTTGTACTATTATTGTCACTTCTCCTTTCTTTTTGTACTATTATTGTCACTTCTCACCCTTTTAAATCTCCTCCATCTAGTCCTTACCATGTTCTTCCTACATGGTAGGAAGTGAAAATATGACTACATTTAACTCTCACATGCAACCCTCAATGGATGTCTTGCTTCTTGAATAAACTCCATGTTCTTTGGCATGGCCAACTCTGTATCTCATTTGACTCATTTGCCATCATCTCCCTCCTCACTCTCTGAATGAAGACTCCTATTGATACTTCAAAACCAAGTTCAGCATCACTGCCTCTAGACAGCCTTTCCTGATGGCGCTACTGAACTCCCCACATTAACCTTCCACTCCTCAGCGCTTTGAACCACTGCCACATACTGTGATTTGTTTGATTACATGCCCATCTCTTCTACTAGATCACAAGTTCTCTGAGCATCTCCCTACCCCCAAGATCATTAAATGTATGTGCATTCAGGCAAACACCTGGGGAGAAGGAACACAGAAATTGTGCATCTTTGTTGTATTATACTTAGCCAAGGTCTTAGCCCATCTTGATGGGGTGGAATGTTAGAAGACTCTAATGCCATCTGAGGTGTGGATCTGAGGGAAGAGGAGGAAAATATTGAGAGAAAGAGAGCGACAGACTTAGTAGGAAGGTACCATGCCACCTTTAAGCTCTGGTAGCATAGTGGTTATAAATCAGGCTGTGAACTTTAAGGTCAGCTGTTCGAAACTACCAGCTGTTCCGTGGGAGAAAGATGAGGCTTTCTGCCCCTGTAAAGATTTACCACCTCAGACCCTGTACAGGGTTGCTATGAGTCAGAACCGACTCCATGACACATAACAGCAAACAACAACAACATGCTAACTTTATGGGTGACAAAATGGAGATGTAGAGATGGTGAAAGAACAGTCCCTGAGGACCCAATTTTACCTCTAATTCCCCCAAGTCTTAGGGATAATAGTGATGGCTTGTCTCTATCAAGTGCAATTTGCTGTGAGTTCCCAGAATGATGACTCAAAACTGGCCATTGTGTTCCTGTTTGGTGTTTGGAGGATAAGACAAGGACTTGGAAAGGATTCAGGACCACTTAGTTAAATTGGGTCGAGATGTATCCACTCTCCATCCTCCATCTTGTCAGTGATGCCATTTGAAAATGGTTCTGCTAGGATTGAATAGCCAGCGGAAAAGCAGAGCTTATTTGTAACCGTTCTTTCCCACTTGAATGATTTTCTGTAAACTCTGTCTTTTAGAAATGAACTATAAGTCTTGCCCAGTCTGCAGCAGCAGCGCTGTTAACGTATTTTGGAAAGCGGCTTCCAAAGCGGTAAGAACCAATCAGTTCTAGAACTTTGAAGGCCAAAATGCTTAAGATGGCTTCTGGTCCAGTGGTCAGTTCTTCACCTTTTTTGGGTCACAGATCCTTTTAGGAATGAAAGTTTAGCATCCTATCCTGAGGAAAATGCTCAGAGGCACATACCAGAAAAATTTCACATACAATTTCAGTGTGTTCATGAAGGATCTTTGGGCAACAGCTGAAGACTCTCTACTTCTATTAATTCTTTGATTTTGGTTGCCAAGAAGCTGGGAACTTGGTTTAATCTTCTCATCCAGGTATTGATCAATCATAGATTCCTGGGAAAGTTTTAATAATCTTTATTTGTCACTTGTTCTGCATCAGGCACAATACTCATCTCTTTATATGGATTAATATCTTTCACCCTCATGAGAATTGGGCAAAATAGGTACCAGGCCAACTTGATGGGTGACAAAATGGAGATGCAGGTAAATAAGCAAACTACTAAATGTGTACAGTTGTCACGGATTTCATTCTGCTTTGATACATAATCAACATTGATGGAAGCAGTAGTCAAGAACTCAGATAGCATATGAATAAGGCAAATCTACTGCAAAAGACCTCTTGTAAGTTTTAAAGAAGTAAAGATGTCACCTTGAGGACTAAGATGCACCTGGTCCAAGTCATGATAATTTAAGTTACTTCACATGCATGTGAAAGCTGAACAATGGGTAAAGAAGACACAAAAAGAGTAGGTGCCTTTGAATTGTGGTGTTGGCAAAGAATATTGAACATACCATGGACTGCCAAAAGAACAAACATATTTATCTTGGAAGAAGTATAGCCAGATGCTCCATAAAAGCAAGGATGGTGAGATGTGTTCTTACATACTTTGAACATGTTACCAGGAAGAGACAAGTCCCTGAAGAAGGACATCATGCTTGGTACAGTAGAGGGTCAGTGAGATGAATTAATGCAGTGGCTACAACAATGGATTCAAATATAAAAGGACGTTTAGGATAGCATTGCACTGGGCAGTGCTTCGTTCTGTTATAAATGGGATCACCGTGATTCAGAACCTACTCAACAGCACCTAACAATAACATCAAAACAGGTTTACTTTTCCCATTTATTTTGTTATCATAGTTTTGAGATACTGCTGTGTGACAAACTTTTAAAATTAAGTCCCACTTAAAGGAATGACACACACATGTAACCATGTGTGCCATCTACAGGTGGTGATGCTGAACTTTATTAATTGAAAGGCTGGAGAAAGAAAGAAAGAATTGATGATCTATTTCATGGAAAAGCCTATGGCATGCAATTCAACCATGAAACACATGAGGTCACCATGATGTGGAATTGACTCAACAGGGCCCATTGTACTTTTTTCTAAGTGTACTTTTTTCGAAGGAGATCTGGTAGTGTAGTGGTTACGAATTGGGCTGCTTTTCTTAGGGTCAGCAGTTCGAAACTACCAGCTCTCCTGTGGGAGAAAGATGGGGCTTTCTGCTTCCATAAAGATTTATAGCCTTGGAAACCCTGTACAGGGTCACTATGAGTAGGAACCAACTCCACAGCACAACTACAACAACAAAGAATTGGACTGCTAACTGCCAAGTCAATGGTTCAAATCCACCAGCTTCTCTGAGAGAGAAAGATGAGGCTGTCTACTCCCATAAATATTTACAATCTCACATGTTAACATGGGTGATGGAGCAGTATACAACAAGAAGGAGGTTGGCTGAGGAAAGAGGAAATATCAGGAGACACAGGGAAGGATGCAATCATTCAAGTGAATAGAGGTAAATACTGTTAACTGGTGGTACATGAGGGGATTGTAGTCACTGTAATGAAGAAAAGTATATGATTTGTTGAATGTAAAACTGATGATCTGCTCTGTAAACCTTCATTCAATTCACAATTTTTTAAAAAAGGATTTACAGCCTCAGAAACCATGACTAGGAATCAAGTTGATGACAGTGGGTCTGGGTTGGGTGGTCAGCTCGGGCAGAGTGATTCAGTTTGCATGCTGATAAATGGTGGGTTTTGTTTGTTTTTTAAAGCTTGCAGAAACTGCCTGTGGTGTGGTCTATGTGATGCTCAGTGGGTCCATCAAGAACGCCTTCGACCCAAACAGGTATGCATTTTTCTGCATCCTATTTGGAACAGTTATGGCAGCCTCCTGTTGGATGTCTCATCCTTGGAAGGATATACTTTTCATGTTTCCGTTCAGTTCTGAAGACATGAGCTGACAAGGGTCTGTCTATTCTCTAAGAGACTCGTCTTTCTCAGTCAATGCAACGTCTGGTTCCTCCTTTACCCCAAATCCCAAGTGGTCCTGGTGGTCAGTGCCCTGTGTCCAGCCCATGCCCTTGACTTCTCAAGCTCTCATGGAATTTTCTCAGCTTTCTTTCCCATTACGCTCCACCTGCCCAGTCCCTAGCTCTGTTCATGTTGCCCTCGCCACTAAATGACTCGTCTTTCCCCTCCATTCTGCATTCTAAATCCTCCCCATCCTTGAAGGCCTATATAGGATTTCCGAGGAATAGCTGGTGAGTGTGAACTACCAGCCTTACCATTCAAACTGACCTTGAATTTGCTGACCTTCCAGTGCCACACCAGGACCTGGAAACACCCATGGTGCAGTTCTGTTCTGTCACATAGGGTCACTATGAGTTGACCATCTATTTGACTTCACTTAACAGTGAACCACATACGATTTTAGGAGTCTCTGGGCAGCGTAGATGGTTAAGTGATTGATGCTAACTAGAAAACTTGAGAGGTAGCTTGAGAGAATGTCCTGGTGGTTTTCTGTAGAAAAGTCACAGCCTTGAAAACTCTATGGAGCGCTGTTGTACTCTGTAACTCAAGGTGTCTCCGTGGGTCAACGTCCACACTCAGGCATCGGGTTTGGTCTTTGGGTTGTATAGCCTTAGGCAGCTAACCCTGTGAGGTCTTGTAGTAAGTGGTGATTCACTGAGATAATGTGTGGACGAGCTTACACGCTGTGCTTGACACATAGTACTACTGTTGTCTCTTTTAATCCCCAGCCCTGAACCTGGCCACACCAACGCCTTCCTTTTCTGACCTCCTGGACTTCCTTTTACCTCCCCATTCTCCAGTCATTCTCTGGTTGCCTTGCTTTTGTTGTTGTTAAGTGCCATTGAGTTTGTTCTGACCTACAGTGACCCTATGTAGGGTTTCTAAGGAGCAGCTGATAAGCTTGAACCTCCGACCTCGTGATTCAAACTTATTTTGCAGTTTAGCACATTAACGCACAGTGCCATACCAGGAACCCTAGTGCTCTAGTTTTAACAGAAATATCAGAAGTGAATAGTTTCAACAAACAGAACTTTCTTCTCTGACAGTTTAGGAAGCTAGAAGTCCAAATCCAGAGTACCAGCTCTGGAGAAAGTTCCTTGTCCCTTCAGCATCAGTAGGCCCAATATCCCTTGGAGAACTCCATGGGTCTTGGCATCAATCTTTCCCTGGATCTAGGAGCTTCACAGTACAGAAAGCCCAGGTTCAGAGGATCCACTCCACTCCCAGATCTTCTGGGTAGGTCCCTCTGGGCTCTCCTTGCTTGTTTAATCTCTTTTGTGTCTCAAAAGAGATTGAAAGAAGATACAACTTAATCCTGTAGATTGCCTCCAGTCTCATTAGCATTTTGAAAGTGAGGAGAATTACATCAGATCAGGGCTGATTACATCAGATCATGTCATGGGAGAGGGTCATTACAGCATGATACAACTCCCCTATTACATCAGTACATAACTGCCAAAACACTGTGAATGACCACCCAGTGAAGTTGACACACATTTTGGTGGGGACACAGTTAATTCATGACTTCTGGTTAAGGCTGGATTGAGGGAAGGGATCAGGTATCAGTTTGACCAGGGCAGTCTGTTACTGTTAGTTACTGTCCAGCCGATTCTAACTTATGATGCCCCAATGTGTGCAGCATGTAATTAACTTCAGAGGATTTTCAATATTGTGACCTTTCTAAAGCAGATTGCCAAGTCTGTCTTCTTAGGCTTCCCTGGGCAGGTTCGAATCACCTATTTTTCTGTTAGTAGTTGAGGACTGAACTGTTTCTACCACCCAGAGACTCAAAATTAATTTTCCTTCTTTCTGATTTAATATTTGATTCCCCAAAGAAGTGTTTGTCTTTTTGTCTTCTTTGACCTTACCCCCATTCAATTTTCAGGGCTGTTGCACGAGAATGTTCACATTCCAGAACTTTACATTCTGGAAAGAGGGGCAGCCATCAGAAACTAATAGGGAAATGTTTGGGATTGGATTTAGGGCAGGACACTGAGATTGTCCAAAGCAGTGCTTCGTGAACTTTATGAACTGGTTAATCACTTGAGTGTGACAGGTTAAAATGCAGGTTCCACACCCCTGGTGGTGATGAGCGAGCTGAGATTTCAGTCTTAACTAGCTCCTGGAGTCCCTGATATGTTGGTTATGTGCCGTGGAGTCAGTTCCGACTCACAGTGACCCGGTGTGGCTTGGGTGTGTGTCAACCTTGAGCCCCTAGGTGGTGCAAATGGTTAGTAGCTTGAATATTAATTTGAGTGAACCCAGAGGTGCCTTGGAAGAAAGGTCTGGTGATCTACTTCAGCGAAATCACCTATTGAGAACCCCATGGAACACAGTTACACCCTGACGCACATGTCACCATGATGCGACATCAACTCCATGGCAACTAATCTAACTGGTATTACTCATTATGCTGGTCCAAGGATGATACTTTAAATAGCACGTGTTTAAAGGTTAGTATCCATGTACAGATGAAGAAGGTTTTCTTCTGTAGCCCTCAACTGAAAGTCACATGGGATGAGAGAGGGTGGTTGTTTCTAAGGCAAATCACGGACTAATTCAAAGGGTGGTTCCATCAGTGGTCTCTTCACTGAGGTTTTTAGGCAACAGCTAAGGATGCATGAGAAGCACTGCAGGATAAGTATTTGATTGCTAACCAAAGGTCAGCAGTTCAAACCCACCAGCCATTCCTCGGAAACCTTGTACAGAGTCACTATGAGTTGCAACCAACTGGAGGGCACTTAGCAGCAACACTGAAAGAGGATGCATGAATGTGTTCCTTTGGGTTGACAGTGTGCTTTGTCTCTTCTGTCTTAGCGTTTTTGGAAGCGTGGAAGTTGTCAATTTGAATCCAAACAAAGTTCGTTCACTGCAGGCCTGGGTGATGACCGACATTGGAGGAGTTGCCAGGTATATTTGAATGTTTTACACTCAGGGTTATTTTATGATCTGTCCATGAAAGAATCCAGATCCAGGAATGCATTGAGAATAGACAGGTTTGGGGTTAATGGGACCTTGCTTGCCCTAGTGGGTGCAGGGCTCATGGAAGTAGCAGTCACAAAAAACCCCAACATATTGCATTAGGCAAATCTTCTGCACAAGACCTCTTTTAAATGTTAAAGAGCAAAAATGTCACTTGAGCTATGGTGTTGGAGGAGAATACTAAAGATACCATGGACTGCCAGAAAAACAAACAAATCTGGGTTGGAAGAAGTACAGCCAGAATGCTCCTTGGAAGCCAGGATGGCCAGACTTCATCTCTCATACTTTGGACATATTATAAGGAGGGACCAGTCCCTGGAGAAGGACATCTTGCTTGGTAAAGTGGAGGGTTGGAGAAAAAGAGGAAGGCCCTCAATGAGGTGAATTGGCATAGTGGTAGTAGCAGTGAACTGAAGTGTAGCAATAATTGGGTGTTTAACACAGGACTGGGCAGTGTTTCATTCTGCTGTGCATAGTGTCACTGTGAGTCGGTACCAACTTGATTGCACCTAACAACAACGACAACAACAAAGTCGTGCAATAGACTAAGAATTAGACTGCTAACCACAAGGTCCAAGGTTCAGTAGGTCAAACCCCTCAGCCACCCCACAGAAGAAAGATGATACAGTCTCAGAAACTCTATATAGGGTCACTATGAGTCAGCTAGATGGCAGTGCACTTTTTGGGTGATGCTGTAAAAAACCAATGAACCAAAGGAAACAAAAGTGGTGCTCCATTAAAGCCATAGCTTTATTGTAAAGCATGGAGCAAGGAGCCAAGAGGATGGTTTCCCTGAATATCTGTAAGCTTTTCAGAAATATAGCAAATGGACAGGTAACTTATGCATGTTTATAAAAAGGGGTTGGATGAACTAGGGATTGATTGCGCTCATGTAGGCTTTGATATAAAGGGTCACACAGTTTTTAATTCACTGTACAGGTACACAGGAAGTGTTTGGAATTTTATGCTCTGGAAAACCAGAATGTCTTGTTGAGGAGGCTTAATGAATTGGTCCCATTGTAAGAAACTACCATATTTGTCTATCAGTTGGTCATGCTATGGTGACTTGTGTGTTACAGTGATGCTGAAAGCTAGCCCACTCATATATTTTAAATATCAGCAGGATCACCTCTAGTAGACAGGTTTCAGTAGAGCTTCCAGACTAAGACAGATTAGGAAGAGGAAGAAGTAGATTACTTCTGAATATTTAGTCACTGAAAAGCTTATGAATAGCAGTGGAACACTGTCAGCACCAGAATATTGAGTATATAAACATTATGAATAACATCACAATATTGTCAGATACAGTGCCAGAAGTTGAGCCCCTCAGGTTAGAAGGCACTTCAAATGTGACTGGGGAAGAGCTGCCTCCTTTCAGTTGAGTTGACTGTGATGATGCAGATAGAGTAAAACTTTCTGGACTTTCATTTGCTGATGGGGCACAACTCAAGATAAGGAGAAAAAGTTGCAAACATCCATTAATAATTGGAACATGGAATGTACAAAGTATGAATCAAGGAAAATTGGAAGTTGTCAAAAATGACACAAAACGCATAAACATGGATATCTTAGTAACCAGTGAGCTGAAATAGACTGGTATTGGCCATTTTTAATCTAACGATTACATAGCTTATTATGCCAGGAATGACAAATTGAAGATCTATCTTGAAGTACAGTACTGTCTGTGATAGGATAATATCCATAAGCCTACAAGAAAGAACAATTAATACCTACAATTATTCAGATTTATGTACCAACCACTGTACCCAATGAAAATTGAAGAATTCTACCAACTTCTTCAGTCTGAAATTAATCAAACATGTAATTAAGATGTATTGATAGTTACTGGTGATTAGAATGTGAAGACTGGAAATACCAGTAGTTGGAAACTATAGTTTTGATGATAGAAATTATACTGGAGGTCATATTTTGTAAGACCAATGATTTATTCATTGAAAACATCTTTTTTAAACAACATGAAAGTTGACTTACACATGACCCTCATCAGAAGGAATACACAGGACTCAATCTGACTACATCTGTGGGACAAGATTGTAGAAAAGCTCAATATTATCATCTAAATAAAGGTCAGAGACAGACTGTTGAATAGACCATCAATTACTCACATGCAAGTTCAGGCTGAAGCTAAAGAAAATAGCCCTGAGTCTATGAGAGCCCAAATATGAGCAGATCCCACCTAAATTTAGAGACCATCTCAAGGATAAATTTGATGTATTAATTACACTGGTCATTAACAATAATGATCAGAAGAGTAGTGAGTTGATATCAAGAACATCATACAGGGAGAAAGCAAAAGGTCATTAAAACGACAGGAAAGATAAAGAGACCAAAATGGATGTCAGAAGAGGCTCTGAAACTTGCTTTCTAGTGTAGACATGCTAAAGCAAAGGAAAAAATGAGAAGGTAAACAAATCTAATCAAAATTTTCAAAGGGGAACTTGAGAAAACAAAGTCAAGTATTATAATGAAATGTGCAACACCATTGAGTTAGAAAACCAAAAGGGAAGAACATGCTTAGTATTTCTCAAGCTGTGGGAACTGAAGGAAAAATTCCAACCTCAACTTGCAATATTAAAGGATTCTATGGGCAAAATATTGAATGATACAGAAAGCATAAAAAGAAGATGGAAGAAATATGCAGAACCACTGCACCAAAAACAAGTGGTTGATGTTCAGTCATTTCAAAAGGTATCATATGATCAAGAACCAGTGGTACTGAAGGAAGAAGTCCAAGCTGCACTGAAGGCATTCGTGAAAAAGAAGTCTTTAGAAACTGATGAGATTAAAATTGATATCTTTCAACAAACTGATGCAGCACTGGAATAGCTCACTCATCTATGCCAAGAAATTTGGAAGACAATTATATGGCCAACTGATTGGAAGAGATCCATATTTGTGCCCATTTTAAAGATAGCTGGCCCAACAAATTGCGTAAATCATCAAACTATATCATTAATATCACACATAAATAGAAGTTTGCTAAAGGCAATTTAAAAATGACTGCAATAGTACATGAGCAGGAATTGCCTGAAATTCAACTTGGATTCAGAAAGGGATGTGGAACCAGGGATATCATTGCTGACACATGGATTTTGACTGAAAGAAGAGAGTACCAGAAGAATGTTTACTTGTACTTTATTGACTATTCAAAGACTTTGAACTGTATGGACCATGACATGGATAACATTGTTTGAATGGATATTCCAGAACATGTAATTGTGCTCATGAGGAGCCTGAGCATAGACCAAGAGGCAATCATTCAAACAGAACAAGAGGATACTGAATAAAACATTTAAAACAAAAATGTGGGCACCTGCATTGTATCTTTAACTACACTTACTAAACTTGTGTGTTGAGCAAATCTTCTAAGAAGTTGGTTTATATGAAGAAGAATGTGGCATCAGGATTGGAGGAAGACTCATTAACCTTCGATATGCAGATATAGCCTTGCTTGCTGAAAGGTAACAGGACTTAAAATATTTACTGATGAAGATCACAGACCACTGTCTTCAGTATGGATTCACCTCAATGTAATGAAAACAGAAATCCTCACAAAGACATCATGATAAATGCAGCAAAGATTGAGGTTTTAAAAGACTTCATTTTGCTTGCATCCACTATCAACACTCATCGAACAGCAGTCAAGATATCAAACGACATACTTCATTAGGCAAATCTGCTGCACAAGACTTCTTGAAAATGTTTAAGAACATATATATCCATTTGAGGACTAAGGTGCACCTGACCCAAGCCATGGTATTTTTCAATAGCCCAACATACAGTGAATAAGGAAGACCATAGAAGAATTGATGCTTTTGATTTATGGTGTTGGAGAAGAATATTGAAAGTGCCATGGGCTGCCAAAAGAACAAACAGATCTGTGTTGGCAGAAGTATAGCCAGAGTGCTCTTTGGACGCCAGGATGGCCAGACTTCATCTCTCATACTTTAGATATATTGCCAGGAGGGACCAGTTGCTGGAGAAAGATATCATGTTTGGTAAGGTGGAGGGTCAGAGAAAAAAAAAGGAAGACCCTCAGCAAGACGGATTGGCAATATGGCAGCATCAATTGGCTCAAGCGTGGCAACAATTGTAAGGTTGGCCCAGGACCAGGCAGTGTTTTGTCCTGTTGTGCATAGGGTGGCTATGAGTTGGTATCAACTCGATGACAACATAACAACAGCAAAGATGCATGTTAAAGTTGGATGATAAATAAGGAAGACCATAAAATAATTTTTGCATTTGAATTATGGTGTTAGAAGAGAATATTAAAAGTACTATGGACAGCCTGAAGAACAAGCAAATCTGTGTTGGAAGAAACACAACCAGAATGCTCCTTAGAAGCCAGGATGGCCAGACTTCTTCTTTCATACTTCTGACATATTATCAGGAGGGCCCAGGTCCTGGAGAAGGGCATCACTCTTGATAAAGTGGAGGGTCAGTGAAAAAGAGGAAGACATCCAACAGACGGATTTGCACAGTGGCAGCATCAAACACTCAAGAGTTACAAAGATTGTGAGGACAATGCAGAATTGGGCAGTGTTTCATTCTGTTGCTATTGGTATCTTCTAAAAGACAACTAAGTTATCTATCCAATGACTTAGTGAAAGAATGTTGTTCTTCCTGTTAAGTGCTGTTGAGTCGATGCCTCTTTTCCAGGGAGTGGCTGGTAAGCTTAAACTGCTGATCTTGCAGTTCAAACTGACCTTGTAGTCCAGCACATTAACCCACAGTGCCATACCAGGACTCCAATCATTAGGTACTGTTGTTGTTGTTGTTGTCAGGTGCCATCGAGTCGGAACCGACTCATAGCGACCCCATGCACAGCAGAATGAAACAATGCTCGATCCTGGGCCAACCTCACCACCGCTGCCACCCCTGAGTCCATCAATGATGCCACCTGGCCGATCCATCTCGTTGGGGGTCTTCCTCTTTTTCTCTGACCCTTCACCCTACCCAGCATGACATCCTTCTCCAACGATTGTTTCCTCCGGACTACATGTCCAAAGTAGGAGAGACAAAGCTTAGCCATCCTGGCCTCCAAGGAGCATTCTGGCTGCACTTCTTCCAAAACAGATCTATTGGTTCTTTTGGCAGTCCATGGCACCCTCAGTATTCTCCTCCAACACCACAACTCAAAGGCATCAATTCTTCTACGATCCTCCTTATTCACTGTCCAACTTTCGCATCCATATGATTAGGTACTAGAGAGATGCAAATCATAACAACACTGAGATATTATCTCACCCCAGTATTAGTGGAAAAGTTCAAAAAGACAACAAGTGATGCTGGCAAGGGTGTGGAAAGACTGGAACTTCATACAACGATACAATTAAAATAAGTCCATAAGAAACAAAAGATGATCTTGAATATATATCCCATCTAAATTTAGAGGTAATCTCAAGAACAGATTTGATGGAAGTCCACAAGAGGCAAAATATGACCTTGTATATATCCCACCTGAATTTAGAGGTCATGTCAAGAACAGATTTGATGCATTAGACATTAATGATCAAAGATCAGATTGACATCAAGAAGATCATACATGAATAAGCAAAAGGTCATTAAAAAGACAGGAAAGAAAGAAAAGACCAAAGTGCAGAACATTATGCTGAGTGAAATAAACCAATCACAAAATGAAAAATATTATATGAGACCACTATTATAAACAGTCAAGAAAAGATTTTCACACAAAAAGCACCATTCTTTGATGGTTACCAGAGTTAGGAGGGGAAGGGAAGCTAAATCACTTCCTAAAGGTTGTTGTAAAGTGCCATCAAGTCAGTTCCAACTCATAGCGACCTTGTATAGAGTTTCTGAAGAGCAGCTGGTGAGTTTGAACCACTGACCTTATGGTTCACACTGACCTTGTGATTCTGTGATTATCCTATGGTGCCACACCAGGACTTTATAGTGCCCCTTGTTGTTGTTAAGTGCAGTTAAATCAGTTACAACTCATAGCAACCTTGTATAGGGTTTCTGAGGAGCAGATGGTAACTTTGAACTACCGACCTTGCAGTTCAAACCAACCTTGAGGTCGAATGTTTATCCTGATGCACCTCTAATGGCATAAAAAAACCCCACAACAAACCAACAACTAAGGGGCACATTGAACCCTCTGTTCCTTTAAAATATACTCTCTCTGTTGGTCAAAATGTTATCCAATATGTGAAAGTTGTGTCTACTTCATTTGGATATTAGATGCAAATATTTATGAATTTATTGAGAAATATCATCTTGATAATCTTAATAGCATAACTGTTGTTTTTTTCCCCCTCACTAAAATTCAATTTCTAATAAAGTAGAAAGTATAATGTAGGAACATACTCCTCTTCTCCTAGAGGGTAGACATATTAATTAACTTTGGGGAAGGTAATGCCAGTATATGAAGGGCCTTCAAAAAGTTTGTGGAAAAATGTTAATAAAAGATAATGAAAACTTTCCAAGAACCTTTAGAAGGCCTGTGGTACACAAAGAGGGAAGTCAGCAAAAAATGATGGGAGCAGGGGAGAACACTGGGAGAAATTCAAGAGTTGAAGGCAACAGAGGTAAATACTGTTATATACACACATTTATAGTAATGGTGATCAATACTGGATGCAAAGATAGATAGATACACAGGGGCTGATCCCCTCCCTGCTGCCGCTGCCTCCTGAGCTGGGCCCACTGTGTCTGGTCCCCTCACGGAGGCATTCCTGCTGCCGCCGCTGCCTCCTCATTCATCTTCATGCACCATAGGCAGCACAGCACCAAGATGTCCAACCAAGTGGTCTGCTAGGAAGCCAGTCACCCCGGGAGCTGGTACACAGCCTCAGGACCTCAGCTGAATGTACAGCTAGAAGTTTGGCTTTCTCAAGTACAATCTACAGAAAGACCCACTAGAGCCATTATTGCATCCCATGCAGGCTCTATGTACTGTGGGTCTTGTCCTGCCCATGCTTACAAACAAGCAGATCCATCTAGTACCCAGAGAATTTTCATCCTGGGGACTTCTCATCATGTGCCCCCTCTTGATGTGCACTTTCCAGTGTGGATATACACAGAACACCTCTGTATGACTTTCATATTGACCAAAAAATTTACGGAGAGCTTTGGAAAACAGGAATGTTTGAATGCATGTCTCTGCAGACAGATGAAGATGAACACAGTATTGAAATGCATTTGCCTTATACAACTAAAGCTACGGAAAGCCATAATGATGAGTTTACCATTATTCCTGTACTGGTTGGAGCTCTGAGTGAGTCAAAAGAACAGGAATTCGGAAAACTCTTCAGTAAATACCTAGCGGATCCCAGTAATCTCTTTGTGGTTTCTTCCATTGGGGTCAAAGGTTCCGTTACAGTTACTATGATGAATCCCAGGGATAGATTGATAGATCCATTGAACATCTAGATGAAATGGGTATGAGTATTGTAGAATAATTAGACCCTTTATCTTTTAGCAATTACTTGAAGAAATACCATAATACAATATGTGGAAGACATCCCATTGGGGTGTTGTTAAATGCTATCACAGAGCTCCAGAAAAAATGGAATGAAGATGAACTTTTCCTTTTTGAATTATGCCCAGTCAAGTCAGTGTAAAAGTTGGCAGGACAGTTCAGTGAGTTACGCAGCCGGAGTGCTCACGGTCCACCGAAGTTCTGACTCCTCAGGGATCCACCTGTGCATACTCAGACTCTGTCTGGGTCCCAGCCTATCCCTTACAAAGATACTGTTCCTGGTTTGGGGGTTTCAGGAACCTCAAATGCGTAGAACTTTTCTTCTCTTCTTTTCTAGTAGGTGTTGTTGTTGTTGTTGTTGTTAGGTGCCATCGAGTGGGTACTGACTCAGAGCAACCTTATGCACAGCAGAATGAAACACTGCCCGATCCTGGGCCAACCACTTGGCTAATCCATCTTGTTGGGGGTCTTCCTCTTTTTCTCTGACCCTCCACCTTACCAAACATGATATCCTTCTCCAGCGACTGGGCCCTCCTGACAATATGTCCCAAGTATGAGAGATGAAGTCTGGCCATCTTGGCCTCCAAGAAGCACTCTGGCTCCACTTCTTCCAACACAGATCTATTGGTTCTTTTGGCAGCCCATGGCACTTTCAGTATTCTCCTCCAACACCATAACTCAAAAGCATCAATTCTTCTATGGTCTTCCTTCCTTAATTTCATTAAAGCATTAAAAATGCTCTATCGTTTAGGGCAGTGGATCCTTCCTTTGATCAAATATCTTGATCAAAAAAGATGACTATGTCAAGGCCTGATTGTGGCAGATGTTTTGTGAAAGTAACTTGTAAAGCATTTGCCATATCGTAAATTTGCACTCTTTGCAGACTTGTGCACATATATTCCACTTTCAGAATAGTTGTGTGAAATGTACACAAACAAACAAAAAGGGATGGAAGCTTTTTAATAAGGAAATTGCATTTATAAATGATCTGTATTAGAATATAATAAATCTCCAGTTATAGTCGATTACCACCCATGTTGTACAACAGATACCTTCTAATAAAGGGCTACACAACTCAAAACAAAACAAAACAAAAGATAGATACATAGGCTGAATGGGTGTGGAAGGAACAGTGATACCAAACATAGTTTTGACAGAGATTATTTCTACATATGTATCTACCTATGCTGCAAAATATCCATGAATGTGTTGGAATGCACAGGGGATAAAGTTATGAAACCTTCTTAGACAGAATTAAACCCCGAGGGAATGAGATGTTGGGCTTGGGAGCTCAGAACTATGGTCTCGAGAGACATTAAGGTCAGTTGGCATAATGTAGTTAATGTTCTACATCATATTTTGATGAGTAGCATATGAGGTCTTAAGAACTCATGATCGGCCATCTTGTTGTGCATGGGGTTCCCATGAGGTGAGGGTCAAGTAGATGGCCAACGTGGGAGCCCCTGGAGATGGGTTTCTGCCTCCCTTTATAGAAGAGAATTGACATTTTAACACTTTTTCCTTTCTTTCCCAGAGATTCATGTTCAGGTTCTTCTATAAATGAACTGGAATCAATATTAAAACAAAAGAGTATTCAATTTACCTGCCTGGATGATTACAAGTAAGTGGCCTTTTGAAGAAAAGATGGTTATCTTGCTATGGACTAGCATTTTCCCTTTCCTCAGTGTCCTCGGAGGCAGGAGGGCTGAGCACATCCTTCCTTGGCCTGGGGACCTTCACGATTTCCTGGGGCTCTCACATGGTGGTCTTTGTCACTCCCTCCGAAGAGTCCAAAAGATATTTCCAGCCTGTGGACCTCAGTTTATCACGCTTCTCCCCATCTTCTCACTTCCCTGTTGTTTTTAGGTGCCACCAAGTCAGTACCAACTCACTGCGACCCTATGCACAACAGAACGAAGCACAGCCCAGACCTAGGACAACTTCAGAATCATTGCTACACCTGAGCCCTTTTGCTGACACCACTGTGACAATCCATCTCGTTGGGGGTCTTCCTCTTTTTCTCCCACCCTCCATCTTACCAAACATGATATCCTTCTCCAGTGACTGGTCCCTCCTGGTAATATGTCCAAAGTATGAGAGCTCTGGTAGCGTAGTGGTTACGAATCGGGCTGCGAACCTTAAGGTCAGTGGTTCGAAACTACCAGCCGCTCCGCGGGAGAAAGATGAGGCTTTCTACTCCCGTAAAGATTTACACCCTCGGAAACCCTGTACAGGGTCGCTATGGGTTGGACCCGACTCGATGGCACTTAACAACAACAACAACATGAGAGATAAAGTTTGGCCATCCTGGCCTCCAGGGGGCGCTCTGACTACTTCTTCCAATGCAGATCCGTTGGTTCTTTTGGTAGCCCATGGTATCCTTAGTAGTCTAGTCCAACATCACCACTCAAAGACATCAGTTCTTCTACCGTCTTCCTTATTCACTGTCCAAGTTTCACATGCTTATGAGGTTATTGAAAATACCATGGCTTGAGTCACGCACACCGTAGTCCTCAAACTGAAAGTTTTGCTCTTGAACACTTTAAAGAGGTCTTGTGCAGCAGATTTGCCTAATTCAATACATCATTTGATGTTTTGACTACTGTTTCTATGAGTGTTGTATACTTCCCTGTACACCCCAAAATGGGCAACTCTGAAGCTGACTTAGACTTTGAGGAGGTATTTCTTGGTTTTCCGTGCAGGGCTCCTACTCAAGGCTTATAGGACAGAAGCCATCATGGGAGCAAAAATTCATGTTGCCACGTACTTTCTCCTCATGGCTTGGTGTACTTCTAGGTCTCAAGTTTCTTTAGTTGTAGCTTATAGTAGAAGCCTAACGCTTGGTAAGATGCTAAATGACAGTCTACCAAAATTCATCTTTTTCAAATAAAAAAGATAATAATCCCATAACACTTTTTTCTAGAGAAAACAGTTTTTCTTTAAATCACCTATAACTCCATTATGAAAACTGAGATCTCTGTAATTAGTGTCACTAAATTATACACACGAAAAATCTTTCATTACAATTTTTTAAAATGTAAATATCAAACCCCTCCCTCCAAAAAAAAATCCCCCAAACTGGAACTCCCCTTCTCGTTTTTGATGCCCACCTCCTGGGATTGTTGTTGTTGAGTGATAGCGACCCTGTACAGGAATTCTGAGAAGCTGCTGGTAGGTTTGAACCACCGACCTTGTGGTTCACATTCCAGTGCTGATCCTACCGCACCACACTAGAAGTGTTCTCCAGGGATTGGTCCATCCTAATATCATGTCCATATTTAGAGTCCTGATGTGGCTCTGTAGGATCAGCACTGGACTACTAACTACAAGGTTGGTGATTCAAACCCACCAGCCACTCTTCAGAAACCCTATACAGGGTAACTCTGAACTGAAACTGATTCAATGACACTCAACAGCAACAATGTGTGTAAAGTAAATGAGATGGAGGCTCTCCATCCTTACTTCTACGAGCATTCTGGCTGTACTTCTTCTAAGACAGATTTGCTCTTTCTTCTGGCAGTCTAAGGAAGACCATAGAATTGATGCCTTTGAGTTATGGTGTTGGAGGAGAATATTGAACGTGTCATGGACTGCCAAAAGAGCCAATAGATCCGTTTTGGCAGAAGTGCAACCAGAGTGCTCCTTAGAGGCCCAGATGGCCAAACTTCGTCTCTCATACTTCGGACATATTGTCAGGAGGGACCAGTCGCTGGAGAATGATATCATGTTTGTTAAGGTGGAGGGTCGAAGAAAAAGAGGGTGACCCCCAGTGAGATGGATTGGCCAAGTGGAGGCATTGATGGACTCAAACATGGCAATAGTAGTGACGATGGCCCAGGTTTGGGCAGTGTTTCGTTCTGCTGTGCATAAGGTCGCTATGGGTCGGTACCAACTCAATGGCACCTAACAACAAAAACTGGCAGTCTATGGTCTATATTCAATATTCTTCACCAACACCACAGTTCAAATGTCACACAGTGCATTTAAATCACACAATACCAATGATATCTTTCCATTTTAGGGAACTTTCTTCACGTGACTGGACGAACGTCTAAATAGCAAACAGACAAGTGGTTGTATTTATATGAATTAGACCTCTTAATGACTATATTACATAATAAATCTCAGAACTGAGTTGGGACAAATGATACCATTTGTCAAATGATAACATTGCGTTGTATATCCTTCAAGACTTGGTTTTAGAGACTGCACATACACACAACCTTGATAAAACGTATAGAGAATTTCTTAACATCCATTTTAATTCATAGAGTGAACAGAAAGTAACAATACTTGTTTTACCTCAAAATGGCCCAAACCAAACCCCCCTGTTATTCAGTCAATTCCAGCTCTTAGCAACCCTGTGTATAGGACAGAGCCCAACTGCCTCCTAGGTGTTTCAAGACTTAAATCTTTATGGGAGCAAGCTTTATGCCACATCTTTCTCCTGATAAGTAGCTGGTGGCTTTGAACTGCAGACCTTTCGGTTAACAGCCAAACACTATTCCCACAGTACCATCAGGCCTCCTTAAAAATGACTAATGGTCACAATGCGCTCTCTGGTATTGCCCTCTGTTGTTGTTGCTAAGTGCTGCTAAGTTGGTTCTGACTCATAGTGACCCTGTATCGAGTTTCTGAGAGTGGCTGGTGGGTTTGAACTGCCAATCTTGCAGTTATCAGTCCAGTGCTTATCCTACAGCACCACACCAAGGCTCTAGTGCTCCTGCTATTGTTGGTAAGTGCCTTTGAGTCGGTTCTGACTCATCATGAGCCTGTATAGGTTTCTGAGGAGCAGCTGGTGAGCTTGAACTTCCAACCTTGCAGTTCAAACTGACCTGTCAGTCCAGGGCTTATCCTACAGCAGTATACCAAGACTCCGGAGTGCTCCTGGTGGCATTAAAAAACAAAAACAAAAAAAACCTAAAGGGTACGTTGAACTTTCTGTTACTTCAAAGTATACGTCTCCATTGATAAAAATGTTATCCAACATGTGAAAGTTATGCCCACTTTATTATGACATTGGATCCAAATAGTTGTGTATTTATGGAAAATCATCTTGGTAATTTTAGCAGCATAATCACTGCTTTTTGTTCCTCCCTAAAGTTGAATTCCCAATAAAGTAGAAATGATCATTTAGGAGGAATCCTGGTGTGATGCTGCAGGATAATGCTCTGGACTGCAAGGCCAGTTTGAACTCCAAGTTTGGCAATTCAAACCCACCAGCCGTTCCTTGAAAACACTATACCGGGCTCCTAGGGGTTGAAAATGACTCGATGGCACTTCACAACAACAAATAATTTAGGAACATCCTCATCTTCTACTACCTTAAGCCCCTGGGTGATGTAAAAGCTTAGAGCATTCTGCTGCTTACTGAAAGGTTGAAGGTTCAAGTCTAGCCCCAGGCACCTCAAAGAAAAACCTGCCAATCGATTTCCCCAAAAGTCAGCCCCTCCCCCCTCCCAAAAAATACACCATAGGGGATAGAAGCAAATACTGTTGAATGATGATGTATTGAATGCAAACATATTAAAAGCAAATACTGTTGAATGATGATGTTTTCTACTCATCCTATCGTATGATTACAACGGAGGAGATTGTAATCATTGCAATGAAAGGAAATACGATAGGATGAGTAGAAAACCAATGTTCTCCCATGTAAACTATTGCTCAATTCATAATAAAAGCTTTAAAAAATAAAATTAAAAAATCTGCCATTGGGAATCCTACAGGTTACAGTTCCACCCTGACACACCTGGCGTTTCCATGAGTTGGCGTTGATTTGATAGCAGCTGATGGCCGGTAAAGGCAGCTTTAAAAACTCGAGAGTGTTGGAGAAATTCCATTTCCATAGCAGTGTTTCCTTAAGAAACAGGATACTTGTTTCCCTAGAATTTATTCATGTGACAATCCCAGGCTACCATATTGGTGAGGATAGAGTGACTTAAGTCATTGTCCCCAACTGGTTACAGCAATTGACTGGAGATGAACCTAATGGGGCCATTGCAAGGATTGTCAGCATATCTGCTCTAAGCATCCTTTCCGCCTTCATTCATATCTAAAAAACTCAGAGTCAGCTATAATTTGATGAACTGTTGAAAACTCTGGTGGCACAGTGGTTAAGCTTTCAGCTGCTAAGCAAAATGGTGGTTCAAACCCACTTACTGCTCCGTGAGAGAAAGATGAGCTTTGGTAAAGATTTACAGCCTTGGAAATGTTACTCTGTCCTGTAGAGTCCTCATGAGTCAAAATCAGCACTCTGTCCAGCCTGTCTGTGGTAGCAGCCACTCCTTTGTGATCTTGGTTCCTTTGTTACACCACTTCGGTGAAAATGAGAGGTATTCACCTGCTAGATTCTATCTAGAACTTGTTCTGTGCAAAAGAAGTGTGGTCCTTGATCCTACTTAGGTTCCAAGGTTGATGGTCCTTGTTGATGGTCCTCAGCCTGCTATTAGAGAGCTTCTAACTCCTGCGCCCACTCGAATCCTTTGACCCAACATTTCCTAACAACATGGGAGTGCCTAGACCCCTAGGCTCAAGTTTGAAAGAAAGACTTGGAGATCTACTTCTGAACTATCAGCCACTGAAAATTCTATGTAAAACAAAGCAACGGAATCACAGTTCTACT